AAAATTATCAATATTTGGCTTGTTCACATTTTGGGCTCTGGCTGCCGTCTTACAAGTCAGATCAGGCTGAGTTTTGGTTTACGCACTCGTTAACAATGCTTTAGATACCCTGAGGGTACCAAACTTGTACTTTGATTTTCAGGTCAGGGTCAGGTCATCATAGGTCACAGAAATCTTATGCCAGAAGTCGGTCACGTGACACATGTTTTATGGTCCATTTAGGCCATAGATTTCGAATTTGGTGTCGCCTGTGTCATTTGAGGCCATTTTCATCTGAATATAGCTGAGGTCAGGTCACTTTCAGGTCAAAAAAGGTCAAACTTTAAAGTTGAAATTTTTGAATAAAAAACATGTCTATCGGATGCAGTTTGAGCTCAGCAACACAATGGTGCTATTTATATTGATGTACGATGTCAAATTCGTACAGAAAAAGTGATTTGAAAAAAAAAAATTTAAATTGTGAAATTTTTGCTATAATGCGTATAACTTGGCCATTTTTGAAGATATCTGGCTAAAACTTTGCTAGAGTAAGTCATAAGCATGCGTTCTATCATATATATTCCGCTTTTTCGAAAAGTCAAAAAGTTTTTGAAAAAAATATAAAAATACAAATTTTGAATTTTGATATTACTAATTTTCCAAATTTCCAAAATTTTGAAAATTCGAGATGGCAGTTTGATAGCGCAGTCCATTCTGAGTCCTCTAATGCAAAGAAATTGGATCTAGCTCAAAAACTGAGCTCTTGGGAGCGATTTCCGTGGTTCAATGTTTTGCGTCGAAATCGGCCGAACATGACGTCACTCTGACGTCATTTCCGGCCGACCTATGATAGATACGAAGTTCAAATTTTGCCACAAGGTGTCAAATTGATGCAGCCGAAGGTACTGAAAGTTTGGCGGCGATACGTCAAGCGGTTTAGAAGTTATTGCAGAAAAACGGGAGGGGGGCTATGAATAGCCCCCCCCCCCAGTGGGGCGCGGGTTAAAAAATGAAGCCGTGGTCTTAGGAAGTAAAAGCAAAACTCGTGAAATTATGCTTTCCCAGACTAAGTCGGTCGGTTCGACACCACGGAAGATCCTCAAACACTTTAGGGCAAAGAGAGCAACATCTTGAATCAAAATTTTCCACATTGTTGACAAGTTTCTGGCTCGAGGAAGTGTTAACAATAGGTTCACGCAATTCAAGGAACACAGCGGCGGCCATAAACCCAATCAAAGGCTCACGGCGAACACCACTCGTGTGAGAGATGCGCTACTCAGACTGTCAATGGTCAGCGATATCGGGTGGCTCTGGCGACGTTTTAGAGGGTTCTGCAATATCACACTGAAAAAAACTTACACCTAGAGAGTTATTTTTGGAGTTTTTCCACTCCAGTTTGCCGAATAATCACGCACCAATGGCATATAATGATTATGTTTTGTAGCGTATTCTTACTCTCTGCATTGCATTAAGGGCGTTTTTGAAAGTTATTCTTAAACCTGGTACTATAATCATCTCTTTTGTGTTTTAGCAAGTGCTAATTTTATCTTCTAATTTTATCACGTGTTCTTTTTATTCTTTCGGGTTATAAATTTATATCAGTCTCAAAGAGGCATGGGGTAATTTTAGCTTATTTCACAGTGATAAACAAGGTCATTGGAATATATTTGTGCTGAACTCCCATTTGATGGTAATAAAATTGACAGCTATAGTACTTTTATCAAAACTGCATAAAAATAAACCGATGTGGAGTAATTAGGGTAATTTTTATACTCCATTACGGCTGATAAATTGACGCGACAGAATAAAACTATTCTCATGTAGGTGTAAAAATTACTTCCTTCGTGATAAAACTATCATGTCCGGACAATAATTTTATAACCATGGAGTAATATTATGTGGTAGCATTACTAACATTATTCTTCGGGAGTATTCGGGAGCGTATTTCAAGCAATACTGTATCACTTTCTTGATAATCCTATTCCGTTGTGACATAACTAATCTAAAAGTGATTAATCTATTCGTCCAGCACAGTATTATTCCAAGAATAATATTTTCGGAATGTCCCTGCAGTTCGCGACCATTCGCGACCGCCATTGTGCTCAAGTCGTCAGAACCAAGGCCTTCTGTCAGAGAACCGAGCAAGCGTCCCAGTCCTCGAAGGTAAGCTGAAATTACTGTATACTTTGTGTTTTGTTAGTATGACTTTACAGTAATCCGTAGTATGACCATACAATCCAAGAAATGCGTTGACGTAGATTTGCGGACGAAGATTTCCGCGATGATGAAATTCTGGAAGACAAATTGTCACCCATGACATGCTCAAGGCCATTGAAACCAGGGGAAACAGCCATGTCAATTACCGTGGGAACTTTTTTCCCGCCAGCTCGGCAGCGTGATGTAACGGTAAAGGAATTTTGAAACTCGTTAACGGGGGATGGTTGAACTGAACTAACTATATAATTAGTGGCACCATTTTATATCCGCGCTATCAGGGAACAAAATTGGATAGGAAAACATCTGGAAAATTTGTATAATTTTTAACCCACTCCCTCTGGTTTTTCTACCGCCTGCTGGGAAGTCACCCCCCCCCTCTCCCATCTAACTTGGCGGGTCCTAAGCAACGTAACCGTAACGAAACGCTCAAGGCGGAGTTGGGAATCTTGTCACAAACCATGACGAAAGCATTCCAGTCATTTTTATCAGGTAAAAGATCACCAGAGGTTGACACTTGACGTGGCGCGCTTTCAAACTTTTGTGAGCTGGAGTAACTTACCTGACCTGACCTTCCATAATGATATAATGTTCACTTGATGTTGCTTGATGTTAATTCCATTCATTAATGTGATTTTGCGATGTTTCCAGGTGTGGACTGACTTGGGAATGATCATGGGGCTCGAGGAGGGCGTGAAGGAGCATGTCCTGCACAAAATCAGACATACCGCGAAGAAGTATGCCCAGACGATGATAAACGTGGAGCCGGCCGACAAAGACGGTGAGTTTTGAACGAGCACAAGCACACCTTTTCGGATGAGGTGTTCCGCTAGCAACACATCGTGCCGGGGGGGGGGGGATACTCTTCTTCTATATAACTGGGCTCGAGCCGATCATCGTAGACAATATATTCCTGGCCAGGGCTGGAATAATGTTTAGATCTGACTGATTTTTTTTTTAGCGAATGTTAGGCCCGAGGTATTTTCGATAAATACGAGGTCAGGCCAAAACGTTAGCCAAGACCAAGTGTAGGAAGGTATTTCCCACGCATGCTTCTTCCTGCACGATGGAGAAATGACGTTTCACATATCCCAATGGCGTAATACATTAATAGCAGAGGGCAGGACAACTGTTTATTTTCTTGATGATTTTTTTTTTTGGCTTAAAGGAAGACTGCCACCTTTTTTACACAAAACGGTTTTCACTAGACCTAACCCACCTATGACCTACCCTGAAGTCTGTTTCCCGAAATTCGGCCTAGTTTTCAAGATATCCGCAATTGGACTTCAGATTAAAGCCATCACAAATGTGTGGAATATGGGAATGTAACATTACCATGTTAAAATCCCATCTCCCACACTTTTTGTGATGGCATCAATGTGAAGTTCGAATGCGGATATCTCGAAAACTAGGACGAATTTCGGGAAACGGACTTCAGGGTAGGTCATAGGTGGGTCAGGTCTACTGAAAACCGTTTTAAACCGAAAACCGTAAAAAGGTGGCACTTTAACGACGGGCGGGACAACATGTTGTACCTCACCTTTGGACAGCCAACCATAGTTGCGGCAGCCGTCACCAGGGGCGTTGGGGTCGCGAGCGGCCGTGACCGCTCGCAGGTCATCAGTCTGGCCGCGTACTCCCAGGGAGGCACCAGTTCTGACGTCACACGAAAATATCAGTCGGCTGGTTGTGGCACTGCCCCCTGCCGGCGCGACTGTGCTGCCACCTAGCTAAGCCTAGTCAGCCTAGGACGGGACGGTTTTACTTTTTCTCGTCGAGTGGGGCAGCTTGCGACGACACTCGGTCGACATAGCTGTGCTGCAACATACCCCAGGTTCGGCTGAAGAAAGGCTAGACATATCTCACTTGATTTTGGCGTGGCCAGCCTCACTTCTGTAGTTTCGCTTCACAGTATTCCACGTCCTATTGAGTTTCCGGTTACGTAGTACACGACCACGTTCAGGAACTTGATGTTTCTTAGATACATCACGTAATGACAAACTTTTGGCAGCATTTACATTGGTTGCCTGCATATTTTGGTGAGGAAAAATCACTATCGCAGTAGTACAATCAAGACATACCACAAAGGATCAGAGCTAAAGCAGCATTATTAACCAAAAGTGTATTGCATTGATCACCAGCATGTTCGTAAAATAAAATAGATCACGAATAAAGATGACAACCAAGCCGGACGTACACATAACAAACATGAACGCTTAAGTGGCAACACAAATGAAAGAGAGAAGATGAATCTGCCCTTCACAATCGTCAACTTAAAATAAAACTTCAAATATACAACAGACCTCTGTGCATTAAAAGAACATGAATAAACTCGCTTTGTCGTCGACACATAATGGGAACATCCTGACGGCCCAGCCAAACAGCGCGCCCGCCTTCGAGTAGGAAATAGCAGCGGCCGCAGAACTGGCCAACAGATAACTACCACATTGTTCGTCACGCCACCTGCACTGAAACGTAACAGCTATTTAATCGTGAAATGTAGCTATCCATCCCAAAATGCTGCACTACACCAGCACCACCGCACAGTTAACAGATATGTACGGAACGCAGGTCCTTGTCTCTGTCTCTTCCAAGTAGGGTCTCCGTACCGGTAACCAGCGCCACCATCTCCGCGCGGTAGCTATAGCACAGCTCTCCGGCCGGGGCCCGCAGTTCCTCGGCCTCTTCGTCCAGCCAGACCAGCACGGCTCCCGCCCAGCGCCTGAAGACTCCGCCCTCCGCAGATCCGTCCGTCCAAAGCCGGACAGCACACAGGGGCAGGAACGCGAGGTGCAGCGTAGCCACGCTTTCCTTTCCGCCGCCGTGGCCCCAGCCCGGATCGGGCACAGTCCAACCGGAAGGTGACGCCAGCCGTCTGTTGCCACGGTGGGATTCTCGCTCTCGCCCAGGCCTGGCGGCCTCGCAATCTCCAGCCTCGGACAGAAGACAGGCGCGCCGGTGTCGAGGCCTCGGCGGTCGCGCGCAGGGGGTCCCCTGAGGGTGAGACTAACTAAATGCTTACTTCAAAATCTAAGCTGCGTTGCGGCATTGGCGTTTATGTGCGGCGTGTATGCCGCATGATTAGTAAGCGGCGACCACTAAATTAAAGACTCAAACGCTCCGACCGGTTTTCAATGAATAACACTGCATACCAAAAATGCCAACCGCTCTCGTCATAAGATATTTAGCTTTAAATAACGCGGTTATCTACATCATCATTTTGAACCAAATTAACCTTCGCCCCAGTGGGGGGGGGGGGGGGCATATGTTACCACCCTGTCGCGTTTTTTGCGTGTGAATAAAAAACCGCGGCGCGTAGCGCCGCGCCGCTTGGGATAGCTTTTGGTACATCAATTTTGGACAATGTGTGAAATTTTTTACCCCAGGTCATGTCAGGTCAGGTCACCAGGTTAACTGACCATGCCAAAAAAAAAGTTTGCAATCATGTCCAGCCTGCAGTGTTTGTCAGAAAGGTTTCAAACTTGGTGGATTGCATGCTGTTATGGGCGCCTACAATTTGTATATCTCGGATTTTTTATATCCGTGACCTAAGGTCAGGTCAGTGGCGTGACCTTTCCATTACAAGTCAATGGAGAAAAATGAAAATGTCTCTAGATCCGTGTGTACGCATAGGAACAGTCCAAATATTTCAGAATCACAATGATTTAGACCACTCGTGATGACCAAGGTGTCATTTTTGCTGATAGCCTCTAGAAAGGTCATCCGAGGTCATTTGAGGCTACAACCAGTTTTTTGCCAATAACTCGCGATTGGAAAGAGATAGAACGCTGGGGATGGTCTCATTGTGTTTGTCTGGTTGAGACGCATCGACTGATATGCAACATGACCTTTTCCGGTCAGGTCATGACCTTGACCTGAGGTCAAATTTTCAAGTTGACCTTTCAAGGTCAAATTATAGTTCATTTGACGCGTCTCGGCGAGGGGAACACGATTCTGGCAAGAGAAATGTCGTGGCTTTTTGTAGACGAAAGTTATTGTAGAAAAACACTTTTCGTAAAAACAGGCTATTTTTGGAGTTTTTGCCCTCTGGAGGCTAAACCGTTGACCTGAGGTCAATTTTGATGATGACCTTATCGAAAGAAGAGTTCAAGAGCTATCGATTGCTTTTCCATGCGTTTTTCTAGCTGTCATAGTTCCTGAGATAAATGCATGTTTTCGGAAAAATATAATGACATTTGGCAAATTTTGACCTTTGATGACCTCCAGTGACCCCAATATTGCTCTAAGATGAAAAAAGACCGAAATACTTTCAAACGTACGCATTGAGAGCTATCGATTGCTTTTTACCGCGTCTTTCTAGCCCTCTTAGTTTTTGAGTTAGAGGTGGGTGGTAACATATGCCCCCCCCCCCCCCCCACTAGGGCGAAGTTGGCTGAGACCGCCACTGGGGCGCGGGTTAATACTTTCAACTTAACCCTCGCCGGCACAGGGGGGGGGGGGTTGATGCAACCCCCTAAGGTTTTTCGCGAATAACTCGCGTAAAAAGCGACCGATCGCGACGAAACTTTTAGTACCCTCGCATTGATCAATTTTACATCCACCCTGAAAATTTCATGACCCTGACCCAAATGACCTTTGACCTGTGACCTACTTTCCGAGACCATGTTTGGCCGGAATCGCGATTCGGCGTATGTCGGCTCGCATTAGCCGCGCGTTTGCAAGCTTTTCGTGGTTTCAAACGTTCAAACATGTGATTTGATGTTGCTCACATGCATTAGGGTGGATGTCAAGGTCACCTGAAGGTCGGGTCAAGTCATTGACCTTTGGTGACCTCGCTTCACTTTTTCGAGTTTTACATGTTTCTAGGCTAGTTTTTAGAGCTGATTTCGAATTTAGCAAACATTTGAACATTCACGAAGTAGTTTTGCTGCATTCGTAACATGTTACGAAGCTGCAGAAGCGGTTGACACGTATTACGAATACCCGTCACGACCCCTACCGGTTGACCTGACCTGACCTGACCCGACCTGGTCTAAATGCTTAAAGACATCATCTCTGATCAAAACTAACACGATATTCGTGATCAGCACCCCGGAAAACCCCACGGCAGCCACACTTTACGACTTTCTAACAGGTCCCGATTTTTCCGATTTTCGGGTCATTGACCTGACCTGGAAGGTCACCCGATGACCTAGGACCTTAGAATTGGATATCACCGGCTTCCTCTCGTGACGGGCAACACGCTCGTTTTTTCCGCGAAGCTCTAGCTCGATCAGGGGCCAAACGGCAAGGAGGGGTCCAACGGACCCCCCCCCCCCCCCCCTATACGTTCGCGGCTGGAAAAACACCAATACGGGCGAGGGTTCAGGAGGGAAGAGAGTCGGTGACGGTCAGGGGCACTACAAGCAGAGCACCATAAGCCGGTGACCGGGCTGACATACCATGTTTTGATAGCATGACTGATAGGTACATACTTTTTTTGGGTAGCCAGGAAATCGCATGCGAAAGCCTATTCCAATTCTTACATCGGCCTTTATATGCACCAGTCGCAAACAGGTACGGGATTTAGCATACGATTTCCAGACAATCGAAAGACTGTTCGGAGCCAACAAAGGAAGGAATGAGTGAGTTAAGTTGAAAGTATTAATTTGGTTCAAAATGACGATGTAGATAACTTAGTTATTTATATCTAAATATCTTATGACGAGAGCGATTGGCATTTGCGGTGTTATTCATTGAAAACCGGTCGGAGCTTTTGAGTCTTTAATTTAGTGATCGCCGCTTACTAATCATGCGGCATACACGCCGCACATAACCACCAATGCCGCAACGCAGCTTAGATTTCGAAGTAAGCATTTAGTCTCACCCTCCCCTGATGGCAGAGCCAGCGCCCTCCCCAGCAGCCTGGCAGCGAGCGTCCAGCTTCTCTCCTCCATCGAAGAAAGTCGGGCTTCCGCCATTAGTGCGTGGCACGGTGTTGAGCGCGGACACAGGTGATGATGCGTCCGCCTCTTGCAGTCCTCGCTCCAGGAGATTCACGTGCGAGGGGGCGGCCGCCGGCAGCCACGCGACGGCAGCGTGTTCGAGCGCCCCTCGGACGTAACCGATTGGCCACCGTACTAAGGGCACCCTCGTCCAGGCCCCAGCTATTCAACCAGGTCGACGGCGCCGTAGCCGTCAGAAGATGGTGATCACTCGAGCCACGCCATAGAGCTCACGCCTCAAAGCGGTTGGCTCTTCGGTCCTCGGCATCCGGCATCCGCAGTGATTTGGCGTAGCCAGGACAGGTGAGATGCCGGCCTCAGTCATAACCAGAAAGCCTGTAAAAAAAAATATATGATTGACAAATGGAAATAAATTGTATGCATTGAGTTGAGAAATCATGACGCACACTGCATTGTGACAGTAGATAGTTTAGTGCGATTGGCAGAGGAGGGACTTATTGTAAGAAATCAATAAACAATTGAGGCATTGATTTGGTTTTGTAGGTAGCTACCTGCCCTTCTCATATGAATCTGGATGATTTGTACAATTAAGAAAAAACATAGGCGTAGGAGCGGGGGGCATGCCCCCACTTTTCAGCTATGCTAATTTTTAAAGTAAAATATTTATTTTTCATTTAAATTCAAATCTAAGAGCAAGAAATGGTTCGGCAAGGTGAGATGAGCACGAAACTGCAAAAAATTTGTTCATAGGGGTATTAGGGTTCCCACAAAGTGACATTGAAGTTCTCTGCCCAGTGTCCCCCCTAAACTTTACGTGAGGTTCCTGCGCCCATGGAAAAAACACATTGCATTATGTGCATCAACACTTAACCCTTGCACGAGGGCCACAAAGCCCACTATAAAGCCCACAAGACACCACCTGAAATCAAAGCATGACAAATGATAGCATGTAGACACCTGACCTACTATAACCTACTGAACAAAACATACCCCATATATCAATATGTATGTGCAGATAAAGTATGAATGGTAGGTTGATAGTTGATACCAAGGCTGTTTAGTAGGTTGCCGAATATGTCCAGCGTAGTGGCGGGATTGCGCCGAAAATTTCAGCGCACGTCCGGCGTAACTTCGAATGCGCCGAATTCGGCGCATGGTGGCGGACGCCATAGCCTTGATATAGCCTTGATCGGTAGATATGCACATGTGCTTTATATAAAAAGGGCTTAATTTTTGCACAAATAGGCACCTAATTTTTGGCGCAAATCACACATAAATTTCAGCACAAAATCGCTTGCGCCGAATTTCGGCGCAAGAGGGTCTCACGGGCGTCCGGCGTAGTGTATGGATGTTTTCCAGTCTGGGTTTTGTATTTGTATCACATGTAAATATCATATCTGGATTCAGGATGTCAAATAGTGTAAGAATGTACAAAATGTATGCCTGTAAAGTGAATCAGACTCTTTCTGAACATTTACCAAAAGTTGTAGGTTAGTACGCAAGGTTAGGCTAGGGTAGATGTTTTTTATCTTCACCATAGTTTATCTACACAGTAACCAACAAACCCTCGTCCAGACATAGGTAGGCATGGCAAATCGTCAAAAAGTTAATATTTTTCTGCTCATCAGTCAGCATTCGACCAAAATTAGGGTTCTAGCATGTCTGGTTATTTCAGGTTATGTTAGGTTAATTGTAGGTGAGGTTAAAACTTAAACAAGCTCTAAGACATATATACGGGCTCCATCTGAGATTAATATTGAGCTAGGGGTCAGGGTACCCACCTTCCTGTCAGGTCAAGATACTTGACACCATCCTGCAATCTGAGGCGGCCGCCAGGAACCAGCTCAGGCAATTACAATGAAAGTCAACAGTCGTGCGGGCATTTTACCACTCTCCATTAAAATCTGATATAAAGTAATTAGTTAATGACTATAGTCCCGCCGCCGCAAATCCTACAAATGTTATTGACCCTTTGATATTGAGGCCTTGGATATTGATATCCCGAAAAGAAATATCCATAATGATTTATAGCGAACGTGTTCTTACGCAGCTGTGACATAAGCTGCGCATGCGTAAAACACACGCTAGACCAATTAATGAAGACTAAACCTGTTGATGAAGAAATGCTTGTCTCCCATTGGTCTGTGATCACAATCTGCAGGAAACGCAGCTTACACTACAGTAAAAATTTTGCAGGAAATCTGCAGAAAGTAAGAAAAATGCAATTTAAACATATTTAGCCAATGAGTCTGGCCGATCTGTTGATATATTCCGATAGATATTGATCACGATCAGTCATTTTGAAAGAATTACGGTCCGACTCTCTTTATTTTTTAAGCAACGACGCATAAAAGAATTAGTGAAAAATTGACAAAAATATTTTCTTGGAAGGAAAAGTGGGACTAGCGTTAAGTTAAAAATAAAAATTAATACACTGATCGAGACCTCGCCTTCAAAAGTACATATCAGTGCAATTTCGCACCGAATCTCTCTAAATCATTAACAAACTTGGTCAAAAACAGCAAGATTGCCTGTCTTGTCAATTCACACATTTTCAGATTTGGAGGCAATTTTAAAGTTGATGGCCAATGTTTTCAAAATCATCATTTCCACAGGAAAAAGTGCAGCTATTTTTCTTCCAAATTCATTCATTTGTAGAGTCCGACTCTCTCTTGTTTTCCCGCAGTTTCCGTTGTGCTCTGAGAGAAACGACCATGTGTACCATAAGTGTTGGTTCACTTCAAGACTGCAGAATTTGCACTTGCATTTTCTGCCGTGTGGAAGAGCAGTGGGAGTCAGCAAATTTATGACAGAATGTGCTTAAAAAATGACTGGTGAATAATATCTTTTGTCAGTGTCTGACAAATATTTATATTTTAAATCACGCTCTTCAGCTGTCAAGTGAGTTCCAAATGGCCTAAATTGTCAGCTGTTTATCATCCTAGGTCAGCTCAAGGTCACAGACGTCAGCTGAAGAAAGTGGTGACCATTGGCCCTGTGTTGAGCGGACAAACCGGTGTTACCTAGTATTCTATGTACCGTGACCCCGCGGGGCGCGCTACCGCCGTGAGCAGTCGGGAGCCGCCGGTATTCGAGGCGGCTCCTTGCCAATCCGAGCGGATGGCAGACATCAGTGCGCTGCAAAGTGAGGTGGCCGCAATCGCGAAAAGGTTTGACAAGCTAGAGAGCCTTGTGGAAAAAATCGCTGCCCGTGACTGTGAAAGTGACAATGTCGGCCGTCGACACGTCACTGATATCGAGCAACAGCATCAGTTGATGCCCAGTGCCGTATCTGGTTCGTTCAGCGAGGTTCAAGCTGAATTTCGGGCGATTCGAGAGAGCGTCGCCCAGGTGAAACTGCCGCCTGATCTCATGGTCGGCGACAGTCGGGCCGGCGTGTGCAGGGCAGACCTTCCGAAGTTCAATATCATTCAAAAGTCGGCCCGGTATCAGGAAACGGTGCTCAAGCTCCTCTCCACCTGCGATCCGGCTGACGCAGCCGTCAACCAGGTCTCGGCCGTCAGCCTGGCACATCTGCGCTTCCTGCAAGAGGAGTACATGCAGTTACTGGTTAGTAACCAGTTTGACGACGGAACAGCCAAGCTGTTTTCTACTCTGCAACAAAATCCGGCCGCCTTCACGCCGAACTCCCTCGAGAACCTCCAGCGGGCCGTGTCCATCGCCGGGGCCCGCCAGTACCATCAGGTCAGTACGGCTCGTGGCCGGCCAGCATCGTGGCGGGGCAGCCGTGGGCCCGGACGCGGGTTCCAGTTCGGCCCGCGGCGGGGCGGTCTGGGTTTCCAGCCAGCTGACTGGGGACAGACGCGCGGCCGAGCTGACCTTGACCTGTCACGTGGGGCTGGATACGGACGGGGCCAGCCCGTACGAGGAGCAGGTGAAAGCGCGCAGTGCATTGACGATTGAACTGCTGTTTGTCGGACTTCTTCCTGCTGACGATGCCGCTCAATGTCGCAGAGTGGGTGCGCATTGGCGCCAGCAGTGTTGTGGTGGACTGGTTAAAAAATGGTGTTCCGATGTCATTCTCGTCTGTACCAGAGCCGCGGGCCTACCCAAACCCCGTGTTTAATGACGCACAGCGAAAGTTTCTCGATGCCGAAATTACTGATTTGGCTAATAAAGGTGTTGTGTCGGAGGTGACAGATGCACCGGTTTGTGTTTCAGCCTTGAAGGTGGTACCGAAAAAGATGGGAAAATATCGACTGATCTGTGATTTGCGATATGTTAACGCACATTGTGATGTGCCCCATTTCTCATCTGAAAACGTGTCTGTGCTACCCGAAATCATGCGGGATAACGATCGCGCGGTTACACTAGACTTAAAGGATGGATTCTTTCATTTCCCCGTGCACCCATCCTTTCGAACTTTCCTAGGCTTTGCCTATGGGGGACGCTGGTACGTTTGGAATTGCTTGCCCTTTGGCTGGGCGAATTCTCCTTATTATTTTCATAAGTGCATTCGGGCCGTCATAGAGTACCTTCGGATTGAACATAGGATGTCGATCACAGGGGGGTGTCACTACCGACCCCCACCGGACACGATTTGGTAGCCGAGGTCTGTGACGTCAGCTGGGCGTGAAGTTTTCCCTTCACCATAGGCTTAACACACAAATTGGCCAAAGTTCATGCCAGGATATCTCAGTCTGGAAGTGCAAAAAGGATTAAATGTTGGCGTCATTAGATTTAGTGTTTCATTTTATATCCGAAAACGTCCATTATTAGGCCTCAAAGAAGGTACAAGTACTCGAAATCGAGGTTCAAGAAGATGCTGTCGTGTACATAATCTGGTAGCATCACGTGATCTCTTTACAGCAGTTTATAAATAATTTCAAAATCTAGTTACACGATTGCTGCTTCAAACAACATAAATAATACATCTTCAACATTTATTACTTCCGTTTAGGTCACAACATTGCAAAAAGCAAAGTTCACCACCGTAGTCACGTGACCAAAGGTGTAGCGGGGGGTTGGGTCAAACGCTTGAAGGGTTTTAATTTTTAAAATAAATAATATAGTTTTCGTGATGAAATTGAAAGATTGTAATTTTTCATTACATAATACGAATTTTCGTATGTGGGATATTTAATTTATAGGCGGAATTCTCCACATAAAAAATGATAATGACGTCACGGGGGCTTTACTCAAAACATCGGACCTACCTGTTTCTTATAGGTATCTTGGTCACTACTTTGCTTCGCCATAGGTCCAGTACTGATGTCGTTGGTTTCGATCCCGGTGACGTCAGTGCTGCCTACATCTGGGAACTTGTTGCACTTGGTTCTCATTAGAGGTGGCCATATTGTTTTGTCTCGTGACGACACATTTGCGTCATCGGGATCGAAACTGGCTGTAAACAAATCGCTCAGTGTCGCTACCTACTATATATGGCCTTGGTCGATCATGGCATATGTCGACGATTTTTTGTTAGCCGCTCCACATGAACACATCGCAGAGCACGTGCGTATTTGCATCGACACCCTCGGTGCGCTGGGGCTGCAGATTAACTTTCAAAAGTCATCGCTTGAGCCTTCGAGACAGGTTACTTACCTGGGGTTCGATATCCACTGCGCCTCCGTCGGCAGTCCGCCGACCATCTCGGTACCAAAATCGAAGGTTGCGAAGTTGAAACAGGACATTTCTCGTGTACTGAAACGGTCCCATCTCTCAGCAAGGTTGTTAGCTCGCATAGCCGGGCGCTGCATTAGCATGTTAGCTGCAGTTTTTCCGTGCAAACTGAAGCTGCGAAATGTTTATCGGCTTTTAAATTCCAGGAGATCGTGGGACGAACAGCTCTCATGGACGGTGGAGGCGGTCGCCGATCTGAGGTGGTGGATTCGATCTCTCGACGGCTGGAACGGCCGCGTGTTATTGCCGCCAGCGGCCTTCGACATGCAACTGAGCACGGACGCATCGGCTTCCGGCTGGGGGGCGCTGCTGTCCGAACCGGTGTCCCAGACTGCATCAGGGTTCTGGACCTTGCCGGTGAGCCAGGAGTCGTCCAACTTTCGCGAGCTTCTCGCTGTTCTTTTATCTCTGTGCTCATTTCGGGAGCATCTTGCTGGGAAAAATATAGAAGTCCTATCTGACAATGTCACTACTGTAGCACTGATCAATAAATTTGGCTCCTCTGATCAACGCTTGGACGCCATTGCTCAGGCAATTTGGTCTTTTGCTTTTCAGAATCACGTGATGCTGACAGCGCATCACGTCAGTGGCGAATCCAACGTGCAGCCGGACGCTCTTTCCAGGCTGCCCCTCCGTCACGAGTGGTTCTTACACCCAGAGGTATTTCGACAGTTAGATCAGATGTTTGGCCCTCACTCTATCGATCGGTTCGCGACATGTTCGACCACTCACCTTCCTCTGTACAACAGTCGGTACTTAGATCCCGGTACAGCGGGGGTAGACGCTTTCGGTCAGGCCGACTGGTCCAGTCACAACAACTTTGTCAATCCGCCGTTCAGGCTGATTCCACGAGTGTTGGACACGATCGAAGCTCATCAGGCAGTGGCCACGCTGATCGCACCGTTCTGGCCGGCACAGCCGTGGATGGCCAGGCTGCGGCGGCTGAGCGTCGCCCCGCCACTGCGCCTGCCGCCAGTGTCGCGGGCATGTGTTCCGGTCCTCCCGGGGTTCGAGGTGATCGAGCCACACCGAAATCCGGCCTGGAGACTGTACGCTTGGCGGATTTGTGGCGCACCCAGCTGAGTACCCGTGGCTGGTCGCACACCGCGAGTGAACTTCTCGTTTTGTGTTTGGCGGACTCTACTCAACAGACGTATAACCGTTACCTTCAGGATTGTTTCGAGTTTTGTGTCCATCGTGCCGCTCAATTTCCTCCTGCTGACACGGCTATTTTAGCAGAATTTTTGTTGCATCGATGCAAATCATCCGACAGGCCTCATTCGACTCTGAGATGTATTTCTGCGGCGTTAGGAGCAGCATATGACGCATGTGGTATGGCCAATTTGATGTGTGATCAGTATATTTCGCGGCTGTGTCAGGCGATTGTTAAGTGTGGAACCGCAGTTCCGATGTTGCGCTCGCGTGTCATGGATGTGTCCGCGTTTACTCGTATGTTTCGTTCATGGCCATGCAACAATACTCTGTCGACGAAACAGCTGCGTCTGAAGACAATTACGCTGTTAGCTCTTGTCCTTATGTTACGGCCTTCGGATGTGGCGCCTAAGGCGTCATCGTTTGATTTTTGCACGAGTGTTGCGTCCCGCTTTGTTATGTCGGTAGATCATGTGAAATTTGATTCTGACGGATCTGCCTCCGTGACCTTTTTTGGTGTTAAGAACGACGCGCAGCGGACGGGGTTCGAAGTTACGATTCCCCCGTGCTCGGACGCACAGGTCGATCCCGTGGAGGCCTTGCGTGTGTACATTAGCCGCACGGAGTCCATTCGCTGTCCCAGGACCCGGCCGTTATTTGTCAGCCTGGTGCGACCGCACGGCGCCATATCCGCCAGTGCTGTAGCTGGGGTGCTGCAGGACGCTATCCAGGCGGCTGAGGAGTACGGCCTGCCGCCGGGACACACACCCAAGGACTTCCGGCCCACCGGGGCAACAGCGGCCGTGGGCCACGGCTTCAACGCTGACGACGTTCAGAGGCTCGGTCGTTGGAAGACTCGTTCCGTGTTTATGGACCGTTATGTGCACAACAAGGTGCCTGATTCGTTTACCGACAGTATGTTACAGTAGGCAGGGACACAGAAGGATTCTCGCTACGGACATGCTATATGTTAGTGTTTGTTTGTAAACAATACATTGTCAGCCCCGGTGACGGTGCCTGCAACGTCGGTTTTTTGAAACCATAGTTGCGGCAGCCGTCACCAGGGGCGTTGGGGTCGCGAGCGGCCGTGACCGCTCGCGGGTCATCAGTCTGGCCGCGTACTGGGAAGTCGAGGTGTCGGCTGACGGCTAGCGGTGGTGGCGTGTCTGGCGGTGTTCCCGGTCCTGTCATGCTATATGTTAGTGTTTGTTTGTAAACAATACATTGTCAGCCCCGGTGACGGTGCCTGCAACGTCGGTTTTTTGAAATCGTCGTTGGTTTTGCTATTAGTCAAAAAGTGTTGTTTAACTCTAGTGATATTGAAAAGTCATGGTTGTCTCCATTCAGGTTGTCTCCATTCATGGTTGTCTTCATTGTCTCCAAATATACCACAGTTACATGCAGTTTGATACCTACTTGCACTCCATACTTAACCATGACAGCGGAACATCGGGTACGAATTTCTTATTTCACTGAAATATTTTAACGACGTATAATTATTTTGTAATTATGCACCACGTTTAGTTGTAAGAGTGTATCGTACTACGCAAACGTACTACGCACCGTACTACGATTTTGAGAGTGAAAAGAAATCAGGAAGAAGCGAAGAATCGTCTCCAGATACTGTAGATGGCATAGCCAGCTACTGTACGAACGCGGTTCCTTGTTTCTCTCCTAGGTTTCCTTTACGTTTATTTGTACGATATGCATTGATGCCAACTGACTGCAATATTCTTTTTCACGGCAGACGACGAGCTGCTAGCTCTACTTGCCTATGGTTGTGGAACAACCATTGGCACCTTGGCGGATCCGAGAAACGGGGTTCGTCAGGCAGGTGAGGAACTATCGGTGGACGGTGTGGTGGTCTGCCAACTGCCGGCCACCTGGTTGGAGACCGTGGCCCTAATGACGGCCGCCCACGCTGTCTTCTACACAAAGTTCACGGGGCCCTGCAGGGCCCTGTTCGAGATTCTTTACCGGAGTGTGGGATTCGATGTAAACCTATCTGGCTTATCACAGAAGGTGTGGGAGGTTACCCAGGTAGTGTAGAACCAGCATCGGAGATGCCCACTTCAAATGACTGGCGACCTGTGGCTCACCTGTGGTTCAAGTGACTCGTGACTTGTGGCTCACCTGTGGCTCAAGTGACTCGCAACGTGTGGCTCACACTACTGGAGCCTCTGTATTATGACTAATTCATGGCTGCGGCGGTCTCAGTACGCCAATGAGTCTCAGTACGTCTTTCATAGCCCAGATCACGCTCGTTTTATATGCCATCCGTGGCGGTGGTTCTGTGCGCAGATGTTATTCGTTAGCCTCAGTGTTAACCATACACGCTCGTTTTATCTGCCATCCGTGGCGGTGGTTCTGTGCGCAGATGTTATTCGTTAGCCTCAGTGTTAACCATACACGCTCGTTTTATCTGCCTTCCGTGGCGGTGGTTCTGTGCGCAGATGTTATTCGTTAGCCTCAGTGTTAACCATAACGCCCTTGTGAGTTGTGACCTTGAACGTCCTTCCAGTGATTTCGCATTGCGGCCGGCAGAGACGAAGTTTTGCCTCCCAGTTGAGACGCCGCTTCTCAACTAGGAAGCAAAATTACGTCCCTGTCGGCCGCAATGCGCCATCACTGGAAGTGCGTCCAAATTAAGATGTACCTGCTGATGCTCAGGTACCATTCGTTAATCAATTGTTGGTGTTTCAATACATTGTTTAAATGCATTCCTTATTTTACACTTGGTCATAATATTATCACATCACCCCGCATTATCAGGGGTGGTACTTTTACACCGGGGCTTGATTTTACCGGGGAGTTACTCCGGGGTAAAATTATCGAAAAAAGGAGTGCTTTTTGGCATGGCAATATTATTCCCCGAATGGGAGTAATTTTAGTATTAAGTTAATAAAATTATCATCTGGTGTAATTTTATCCAAAGATAGCATACTTTTATCCTCCGTCATAAAATTACTCCCTAGCACGAATAATATACCTAAGCGTTCGGATACTAAATATATTCTATATGCTAGTTTTATTCCCCAAAACTCCCCATTTTAGGCACTTATGCCAGGTCATAAAATTATTCGATTGCAGGAGTGCTTTTTGACATTCTAAAATTAGAAAATGGGGAGTAAGTTTTTTTCAGTGCAGGATGAGCAGAGATCCGGAAACGCTTAACCCGCGCACCGACGGGGGGGGCGGATATCCGCCCCCCCTGAGGTTTTTCGCGAATAGCGGGAAAACCGCGGCGCGTAGCGCCGCGAAATTTGGTATGACTATAACCCCATCAATTTTACACATGGTGTGCAAGTTTGAACCTCCTACCTTTTAAGGTCAGGTCACCAGGTCACTTTGAATGACCCAACCTCAAGTCACTTTTTTGCAACTTTGTCACCGTGCCAGAGCTACAGTAGATGTCGGAGGCCTTTGAAACTCGCAGGATATTATTAGGTCATTAGTAGCTACAATTTGTATATCTCGGAATTTTGATATCGGTGACCTAAGGTCAGGTCAATTTCGCGACCTCCCCATTATAAGTCAATGGGGGAAAAATCAACTCCCTGTTTTTACCACTAAAACGGGTCGGAATGGCCCCATATACCATACATGACTTCATATACGATCAACCTTCACTACCTTGAGGTCTGTTTTGCTGTTGGGCAGCTGTGAGGTCATGTGACGTCATCAAAGGTCACCAAAGGTTTTTGGCCAATAACTCCGTACAGGAACAAGATACAGACGCGTGGATGGTCTCATTGTGTTCAGCTCGTCAAGACGCATCGAATGATATACATGATGACCTCGAGGTCACGTGACCTGAGGTCAACCTTTGACCTTGACCTTTCGAGGTCAACATATATATCATTCGATGCGGATTGACGAGAGGATCACGATGATGCCCTTAGTTTGTTCCTATCTTGACTAATTCGAAAGGTATTCGAGAAAAACTCTCTCCATATCTAGCGCCGCCATTTTGACTTTTTCGACCCCTGTGACGTCATCTTTGACCTGACCTGAAAATGACCTTTGTAAAAATTGTAGATCTTGGCCGTGCGTATCCGATGCCGTTTACCGCTTGTCGCTATCTTGCTTCGTTCTCGAGATCTCAGGGGGGGGGGGCGGTCATCCGCCCCCCCCCCGTCGGTACGAAGTTGGCGCAGACCCCCGTCGGTGCGCGGGTTAAGATCCAATGGTTCCAGCAAGACGGTGCCACGCCAATACCGCTAAAGAAAACCGGGAGGGGCTGTGGGAGCGCTTCGGGCAGCGCGTGATCCCGAGGTTCGAGACACGGTCGGCGAATTCTCCGAACGTAACCCCACCGGACTGTTTCCTATAGGACCACTTCAAGTCCCAGGTGTACCGAAACCACCCAAAAAGTTCCGAAGATCATAAGGATGCAGTAAAGTCAGCGGTGTGCCGTCTGCAGCCTTCCGTGGGTCGTGCTGCATGCGCGCTGCGCCGGGCTAAACTGTGCATCGAGCAAAAAGGGAATCATCTCAAACATGACCTCGGCGCGGCTCAGAAAAGCGACTGCCGAGGGTCGAAATCCCCTCAAACGAAATGTCTTTGATGAGGCTTTTAGGTGATACCCAATTATGTTTTGTTACACTGATACACCCTTCAATACGTTAATTATAAAATCGTCTAACTTTTTTTTTTAGAAGCCCGGTACCTACGTATATTTTCTAGCTAATTTATTTTTTGGCAACCTAACAATATAAAGTGGCCAGAATCCGGGGAGGATTTGGGGGTAGGTAAGGTTTTGCAGGCGCCACCCTAACAAAACCCTAATGGCATTGGGCCCCCTTTCAGATGCCCCTGGATCCGCCCTTGCCCCAAACTTTATTTCCCCTCTCGACTTTTCCTGTAAAAGTAACCCTGGCTATACCCGGCTTGCGAAAGTCTTCCTGCCGCGACCTAGCTTGTTCTCAGGCGTCTATCCGCTTCTGTCGCGTGACAACCAGCGCCAAATCGTGCGGCACCTCATGCCCAGTGCCTCGGCGACTTGGCCGTGGGTCATGCCGCCGGCAACCATGCCGACTGCCCCGCTGCGGGACGATTTGCTCTGCAGTTTTGCCATCTTGGACACCTGGTCTGCGCACGCTGGTTACTGCACAGGAAATGACCTCCGTACACCCCTTGACCGGTCAGGGTCACAAAAATTCGAAGGTCACGTGACTAAAATGTAGCCAAGATGGTCTGGGAGCCAGTACCGGCGAAATTATATTGATATTGCGCTGTAGAACCCTGTAATGCTGAATGCTTTTCGTCTCGATACGGTTACTTATGAATTAGATTATAATTTCAAGGGTTATCGAGATGTCGCACGCTGATATCTATTTCCCTTAGATATAGCCTTTATCCAAGTGGGCAGCACGACAAAACATTTTTTTATTGACACGATGCGATGCCTTGCCTCATGCCTCGTGGCGCTCTTCGAAATGGGCGACGGTATGAGGTAGCCGCCAACCGGTCGCGAAATCAGGTTTTGAAATAAGTAACGTTCTTTCTAAAGAAAGTTTTGTCTGATTTTCACTTTTTGTGACGATAGCCTTTTGATGCAGAAAACGGGTGGTTGTTTTCCTAAATTATAATTGCATACGATTTAATTTATACGAGCCTGGCCTAGTGCTCATATTCGTTTCAAAAGAGACTACAAAGCTAGCCCACTTGTGTAGGGTAGTGTGGGGTAATTTGAACATATTTTTACGTCTTCTCCGTTGTAGGTACCAAATTCCAGCTCAACCCTGAATGAAGAAAAACTGCTTCAGTAGCGCAAGTGTCACTTGCCTTCACCATGCAAGCCTCATTTTTGGACGAGCCGAGCATACCTTGAATAGCATAGCCTCACTTCTCCACCAATTCACGGTGTGTTCAAATGACAAATTACCCCGCCCTGGGGTAATTTGAACATACTGCCTTTACCTGTCATAAAAATGATAAGTCTCGCAAGCACCGATGTTGTTTGACCCATAAACAAATAGGCAGAACAATTCTAAACATACCTTCACTTGAAAAATCAACACAACAACAAAAATAACAGTTGCAAAGTATCAATTTCTGCACGCTGCGCACCGGTCAGTTGACAGAATTCGCCTCTCTTCAATTAACAGAACGTCTATCATTTTTGTTCGATAAAAGCTCTCCCAACCTTACTGCATCTGTTATAGTGGTGCCAATCGAAACCTGGGCATTTGGAGTTCTGATTTTGTTCAATGTCCAATTCGGAATTGGTTGGACAAAGGTAGCACTGCA